AAAAAAAAAAAAAATATATATATATATATATATAGATAGATAGATAGATAGATAGATAGAGTGTACAGGTACCAATTCCCTGTGATGAAGGTGATCATAATATATACATATATAACCAATAAAATTAATTATATATCTATATAAAACCAATAAAATTAATTTTTAAAAAAGAGTGTACCCTTCCTAAATAGTACTAGCAACTATGTACATGGAGAAAAACTGAGACACAGCTTCACGATTATCTACAAATCTTTGGTCTGTGGTGAATTTGTCGACCTCACTTGAGAGTAGAGATTTCCTAGCTTTTAATTGTTTGTATGTATAATTTCATGATGCTCTTGATTTTCCTTAAAATAACATGTTGAAATTGTGCAAAGATCATTTAAATGAGTGTTACTGTGAGCACATCTGCAGTGGAGAGAGTGTGAGTTAGTGATCAGCATACTTAAAAGCACACTGTGGTGTCACAGACCCGGGTGTAAGAGGATTGGCTCACGGCGCCTGCGTTGTTCAGCTCAAGTAAAGTGGCTTTGCTCTGGCACTCAGTGCCATCCTCTTCCTTGGTGGACTTCTAAACGAGCATCTGTTAAACACTGTAGGGCAGAGGGCTCTGGCCAGAAGGTCTGGGCACCAGTGCCCACTCCGCCTCCTGTCCGCCTCACGACTCCAGCCAAGTGTCTGAACCTCCCTCAAAAGCGGGGAATCCAGCATAACCCCTACCCCTCCAAAAGGGAGCTCACTGTTGGAGACGCGCATGATAGCCACCGGTGATCCCTGCTCCATCCCTTTCATCCCACAGAAGTGGGAGGTGAGCTAGGTAGGGTCTCGTGTATGACAGTGTGATCTGCCCCTGAGAAGTTAGCATGAAAACGTGGGTACAGTGACGTAACCAGGTTCAGCCCCTGCAGCACTTCGCCGTATTGACTCCGCAACGCTTAGCTTAGTATCCTCCTGAGAAAAATACAGAGGGGATCACAATACATAGGGCAACTTAGTGAGACCCTGACTCAAAAAACAAAACAATGCCAACTTATAAATGTATAAAATTAATATGCTTTTCAACATCATGTCCTATCCAACTGCAGATGAAATTTCTATTTGGGTAGGGACTATATCAGAGTCCAGCCTGCCTGCTCTGGCCCACGAGTCCACCAGCAGCGTGGCCGAGAAAACACCCATGGGCAGGGCACATCCACGTGTGTGTCGCCCGTTGCCTGGCTGGTGACAGAATGGTGTCCTTTGGGGAGATCTGCCCTTGACTTTTCTTAGCGTACAGGCATGGCCTGTCCTTTAGTAGAGGTGTGTGTTGTCATCGTTTCATTGCAATAATGGTGATACAAGAGCCCATGCTGATGGCTGTCTTGCCTCTCTCTGCCAGATTCCTCGTCAGCAATGGGCTGTGGACCAGGCATGGGGAACTTGAGATCACACTGAGGGCCACAGACAGAGCCCTGCCGGTCGTGGCCAGGAACAGGGGGCTGAGGCTGGCCTCTGGTGCCCTGGGCCTGCTGTCCCCAGAGCTCCTGCAGCTGACCGACACCGACACACCTGCGGGGAGCCTTGCCTTCCTCCTGGCCCAGCTCCCGCGGCACGGCCAACTCCTCCTACGGGGTGCAGCGCTGCTGCAAGGCAACTTCACGCAGCAAGATGTGGACAGCAGACTCGTGGCCTACCGGCATTCCGGAGATGGCCCCCAGTCCGACTGTTTCACCTTTGTGGCCACAGACGGGACCAGCCACGGCTTTATTGTGGATGGCAGAGTCCTGCAAGACCCTGTCCCCTTCATCATTCAGGCAAGTATCTCAGACACCCAGATCACGCTGGAGAGGTGAGGGAAAGACTGAAGAGCTGGCTTCTTTCTTCCCTCCCTCTTCCTTTCAGATACAGCGTGTACATCTGCAGCACGCTAGGCACATTAACATGTATAAGCCAGTGACTAACCTTCAAAGTTGGTGGTAGTAGCTGCTTGTGTAATTCCTGCACTAAGGAGGTTGAAGCAGGAGGATGGAAAGTTCAGACCCAGCCTGGGCAGTTTAGTGACTTGGCAACATCGACTCAGAAAGAGGGGCCGGGGCTTAGCTCAGCTTACTGTGGATTCAGTCCCCAGTATCGTGGGGTTTGGGCTGTGAGGTTGGAGTGCGGGAGTGGGAGGTGTCTGTGGTGATGCAGAAAGGAGCCCGCCTTGGGCTGGTGAGCCAGACAGTGGAGACTGCACTGCTGCCTTGCCATTTCTTAGCTCTTGTGACCTTAGAAGAGTTCTCTGACTCCTCTGATCTATGTTTCCTCCTTTGAAGAACACGCCTGTAGCATGGTGATGGGAGTTAAACAAGAGGAAGTGCCCAAGGCACTCACGTAATGCCGGGAATGTGTGAGGGTCGGCTGCAGGGCTCAGAACTGTGTGCCGGGCTGACCCTCACCGGGCCCTGCCAGCCACTGGGATTTTAGTTTTCAGCTAAACAAATGACCGCGACAAGGCAGCCCCAACACTACTGTGTAGTGACAATGAAGGTAATAAAGCAGAAGCTACGTTTCTCTACTCTCTCTAATGGTCAGAACCCTTTTACTTAATCTTATTTGATTCTCATAAAAGTCCTGAAAAGTAAATTTATTTTCTATGGTTTATGGATGAAAGGTGTGAGGTTTTTGATCAGTAATCTGATCGAATACACACAAAGGCCTCAAATTTTTCTGATTTCAATTAAGTTTTTAAATCTTGTGTCCGCACCCGTTCACAGTGCACAGCGGTTGCATTCCTTGTGGGGAGTTGGAGCGTGTCCATAATACCTCTCAATTCCTTTTCTTCCCCTTCCCCATCGCCCCCTCTTTGGCCAGCATCAGATTCATTTATCTTATAAGACCTTATAAGGTTAATTATCACAAATCCAGGTAAATAGCTAGACTACAAGGCCAAAAAACCCACAAACCTGTAAAACACATAAGATAATTTTACTAAATCAGGGTACACTTTTAAATACATTTTTCATGCTGGATTGCAATGATTTGTTTCCTCCTCCCTCCCTCCCTCTTGTCTTTTGTTTTGCACTTTATTTATAGTTTCTTATATAAGAGAAACCATGTGATATTTAAGCGTGTGTTTACTGCACTCAGCATTATGGTCTCAAGGTGCATCCATTTTCCTACACATGACTCCAGTTTATCCTTCTTTGTGGTTCTTAGAAAATGTAATATGTGTTTCTTCTTTTAGTCCAAACACATCCAGTGTATTCTGGCTCTTGGGCCCTTAAATCTGCTCTCCTTGGATGTGGTTCACCCCTGTTCTGCACACTTCCACCAACAGACAAAAAGATACAATTTTTGTCCCAGTATCTTCTGATTGATAAAATAATCCATGTATCTGTCTTGCTCCTTAGTCTTATATTAGGGCTGTCTAGAGAAACAGAACATGTATGTGCGCATACAGGAATGATGTACACACCATGCATACATCAGCACCTATATAATTCCAAATAACACATACAGACATAATGCATAAATAATACATATGATATCGAACATAGATGTGGAGACTGGGAGAGAGCTTTAAGGAACTGGTCCATACAGTTGTAGGGCACGCTGGCAAGCTACAAATTTTGGCAGGGTCTTTGTGGTCTTGAGAGCTGAGAGCAGTCTGGACATAAAGGCCTTTCCTCTTTGGAGGACCTTGGTCTTTGCGGGATTGGACTGGATGGGATTGGACGGGGCCCCACGCACCATGGAAAGCAATCTGCCTTACACCCAGTCCCCTCATGTACTGCTCCTTGCATGTGAGGCACACCCTCCTGGAGACACGAAGTGAGCCTTCCATCCACAGCTAATGGTCTCCCAGGCCGGGGGTCACTGCACACGGAGCAGGTGCTGAGCGAGCTCTTCGCTTTTATTTTTTTATAATGCTGTCGTTATTAGTTCCATCCAGACCTTCAGGCTATTGTACTGCATCTTTTTCTTTCTTTTTGGTACCAGGGATGGAACTCGGGTCCTTGCACTTGTGAGGCAGGCGGCAGAACCACTGAACTAAATCCCCGGCTCGTGTCTTTTTCTTGATTCCAACTCGCCGGCCGCTCTTGGTCGAGAAATGTCACTTCACTATTCTAGGCCTGTTTGGCTGCAAATGTGTAAGAGTTGTACATTCTGAGCATAGCCGTTACGAGTTCCTTCCCGTACTACAGACAGGGAGGGAAGCAGGGTGGAGTTTGGAGAAAGGACCAGGACTTGGGTGAGGTCTCCCCGACACTCATCTTAGGGAGTGGCTGTTGTGAGAGCTCTGCCTGGAAGATGAGTTTATCCATGGGTGAACAGTGGATGCATGTTGTAAAGTTTCTTTCTCATCAGAAGAGTAAGATTTTCCCTGCAAAGACTCCAGACAGACAGACAGTCACATGTAAAAACCTCACTAGGAAAGACTCAGACTTTGCCCCAGTTTTCCCCAAACCCCCTGCTTCCTCTGAGGTCAAGCAGCCTACAAAGTGACTGACCCTGTTAGTAGCGTACCAAGGATGACAGCCTCAGCCTCGCCTTTAACAGCAATTTCTACCCAGACAATAAGATGTTTACAGCTGCCTAGTGATGGCTTGGTCCACATTAGTCCACCAGGCATAACGGAAAACTTCTGGGCTGGCATCCCAGTGAGTGGGGCAAAAATACTAGATGTAGCACGCGCAGAACACAGGCGTACCTGACCCATGCCGGCGGTCACAGGCTGGGATTCGCCTAGCAGGAAATCATGCCTCTCCGGCCAGACTGCTGTAGCCTGTGTCTTCCCGTCCCGGGGCAGGGTGGAGGGTACAGGAGAAAGGACCTTGCCCTTGCTCTCTGCAGTTCTGCTATGTCTGGTTTGGTTTCACAAATCCAATACACACCATCACAGGGCCACGGTCTTCTCTGTATTAGAAACTCTCACACACCAGTATTTCGCCATGATTCTTGTCTGCCAAGCCAGAAGACCTGCTTTTGAAGAAGTCAGAGGTGTCATAATTCTAGAGTAGATTTTAGCACAAGTGTGGCCAGAGACAAAAAAAGAGACCATGTAACTAGAGTTTAGGTATTGTTTTATAAGACCAATGACTAAAACAGGCATGAAGTACTTTTACAGTACTTGTAACATCAAATCATACAAACAACCATCCTACATGCAGCTAGCTATTCATGATCTTTGAGAGTTTCTCCTGTCTTGGAGTACTCTTCCACAAGCATCTCTCTCGTTGACTTCCATGGTCATGGGAGATTTTCTCCCTAAGTACCACAACAGCGAGGTCCCATCTCACAGCTCTGAAAGCTGCAGCCCACAGGTTCCAAGAGAGCAGGCTGACTCTTCTGACTGTGACATTTGAAAGCCTTTGTTGCCTTTTCAGTTAATAAAATAATTGCTTATTGGAAAGTATTCATAAATTAAAAAAAGACAAGGGACAAAAATCTTTCAAAATTATACCACTCAAGCAATAATGATACTCCGGGTGATGAACTAGATAACATGTACTAATGCATAACGTATGTCACCTGTTTGCACTCTGTGTATGGTGAACATTTCTCTATGTCATTAAATATTTCTTGCAAATAGGATTTTTTTAAAGGTCGTATTGGATTTGAACTGGTATCAGGTAGAGATGATTTATAAAGCTCCTGTTGGACTTCTGTGTTTTTTGGATTTTTAAAATTGCCATTATAAATATTTTTATAGATATATATCTAATACATTCACACATTTTTGTGTACACAGCTGTTTCTGTGAGTTTTTTTTTTTTTTTTTTTTTTTTTTCTGGTATCAGGGATCAAACTCACAACCTTGGGCTTGCAAGGCAGGCACAATGCCACCGAGCTAAATCCCCGACCCTGTAAGATATTTTCTGGAGAGGAAAATTTCACTATTTTGCTCCTCTACCAGTAAAATACAAATATATGTTTCTCTATATATTTACCATCTTGAATCATGATTGATTTTATTTTTTAAAACCAACCTTGCTACTTTGAGGAGGGAAAATGATTTGGTTGTTACCAGATTCCAAATAGAAACAAATGAAAGAGGAGCTATAAGTTTTTTCCTGGTTTTGTACAATTGTTCATATATACATGTCTGTCTTTTTTTCTTTTTCTGTTTGCAGTACCAGGGATCGAATTCAGGACCTTGCTCTTGTCAGGCAGGCGTAGCACCACTGAGCTCCATCCCCAGCTCCATATATATTTTTAACTAAAATGGTATTATAGTCATCTTTATTTATGGAACACTTTCATTTGTGAGTCATCTACTACTGGCTGTTGCTTGTTTGTTGTTGTTGTTGTTGTTGTTTTGCAGGACTGGCGGTGGAACTTGGGGCCACTGTGTCCCCATTCTTTTTATTTTATTTTTTTTGAGACTGGGGATCGAACCTTGGGTCCTTGTGCTTGCGAGGCAGGCGCCGGAACCACTGAGCTAAATCCCCGGCCCTTTCCCTGTTTAGTTTTGATTTTTGAGAAAGGAGCTTGCTAACGTGCTCAAACTTGCCTCAAATTTGTGATCTTCCTGCCTCAGCCTCCCAAGTAGCTGGGATTCCGGGCATGCCTCACGACACCCACTCCCCTGTTCTTTTTGAAATCTACATAGTATGTACTGTAAGAAAGTGTATGATATTATCAGTGCCATAAATTTCTTGCTGAGGTGAACAAGAATTACAGTGGTGTCATATGGGGCAGATGAAGCTAAGCACTGAGAGATTAGGAAGAGAATGATGGTAGACAGGACCCTTGAGTTATGACCAGCCTGACATACGAACAAGTTGGTTCATTAGGTTAAAGAAGATTCACCTGCCTCTTATCTGTAGCATGTACCCAGGGTAAACATCCAGGTCTCAGATGTATTGACTTACAACCAGCCCTCAGGAACCAGATGAGTTCATAAGTCGAGGGTGCCCTGTACCCTTGTGCCTGTTTTCTGTGGCAGCAACGAGATGGTGCTGACCCGCTCCTCCCTGGCCTGCAGTGGCCCTGCAGGACGGATGGCGCCGCATGAACAGCCGTGCCGGATGCCCTCTGCAGCGTGGAGTCTGGGCTCCTTTGCTCCCTCGGGATTAACTGCCCGGCCGCCTTCCCATCTGCTCACCTGCTCCTCATCCTCAGTGCAAGAAGTACTCACGGTCTAGAGCGAATCACGTTCGGGTTTTTCTAGCTGAGATACTTCTATTTTTATTCAACACTTTTCCCATTGAAGCTGCTGTGTGGGGAAAAGGTCTCTGTGTTTGTAAACCCTTACAGTTCTGTTTCTGTAAGTCATTCAATACTGGGGAAAGAGGGGCACCCTTCCGTGGTGCTAACGTTACGTTTGCCGTGTAATTCCCGGGTCGGTTTTCACGCAGCATTTCAACAAATGCCCCTTTAGCTCGCGTGCAGGTTGAGGCTCTGTGCCGGGGCAGCAGGAGTGGGCATCGGGGCTGCCCTCGGGAAGTTTGCATCCCGAGGGGCTCAGACACGGAGAAGCTAGCTAGCAAAAGTCGGGTCCAGGTTTACCGTGGCCGGTCGGCCTGTGCTCCAGGCACTGTGACGTTTGCAGACAATTCTGTGAGCAAAACAGTCTTCAGCAGAAATCAACAAACAGGAAGCTGAGCAATCTGCAACTTGGGAGATTTGGCTCGGTGGGGGCCGGAGGTCCTTGCATAACACTGTCGTAATTGTTGGTGGTTCAGGTGGACCGGGTGGACAAAACGGCACCCCGAATCACTCGCTTGCATTCCCCCTCCCAAGTGGGGCTCCTCAAAAATGGCTGTTACGGGATTTACATCACTTCCCGTGTGCTGAGGGCTGCGGACCACGACACCGAGGACGACGAGATCGTCTTTAGGATTCTACGGGGCCCCCTCCGCGGACATCTGGAGAACACGACCACAGGTACGGCTTCCTTAATCCTTGCAGTTGCTCACTTTCAAATACCCCGCAGCTGCAGGGCTGGAGAGTAATTTAATTAGTGCAGAACCAGGTGGCAAACGCCCGGGGCTTCCTGATAGCTGCCGCTTATAAATCAGGATTGGTGCTAAAGAGGGGTGGAAGCCAAGCTCCGAATCCATGACTGGGGCGCCAAATGCGATGCACAGCTGTTTATTGTTTGCAGTGTTTTCTCAACCAGATTTTAGAAGTGTGCACAGTGCCTGGGCCAGATTCATATCTGGGCCTAATTTTTTCTTCCACCATGAATTCTAAATAGTATCAGGTCTTCTTAAAATTCCAAGTTGTTTTTTTTTCTGCTGGTTTCTCTGGATTATGTATTATTTATGTTTTATGAAAAACAGTGATCATTGTATGTTAGTAAACAGGGTGGGACAGAATTATACTTTTGTATCTTCCTACTCCCTTTTTATTTTTAAATTTTTAAAACAAGTATTTTTGAAGCAAAGTATGTTTAAAGGTACTTTTAGTTCATTGCATTTGAGTCCTGAGTCACAACTATCTAATGTACTTTGACTGTTCTTTAAAACCGTGTTTCAAATAAAATAAAGCTCTTTCAATAAAAGCCATAAGGTTTTATCAGCTCTCATATTTTCTTTGATAACTCATGAGATTCACTTATCCCCTTTTTTTTGTAGGTGAAATTATCTGTGAGAAATTTAGCCAAAAGGATTTAAACAGTAAGACCATTCTTTACATCATAAACCCATCTTTGGAAGTAAATTCAGATATCGTGGAATTTCAAGTCATGGACCCCACAGGGAACTCTGCTACTCCTCAAATGTAAATTCTTTGATTATTCAAATGCCCTGCACGTAACGTTCAACATGTATCTGATTACGATAGTGAAATGATCTTTTCAAACAGAACCTAAGAAGATAAATTGATAGACCATTTCATAAGCTCATAGAATGTATTTTGGAGAAAGTATTTTCTTTTTATTGCTGTTTGCTAATGGGAAACGCAATTGTTTTACAGATAAGGGAGAGTTAAAGGTTAAGTAGAGTAGCTTCGTTCACATTCTGCATAGAAATGCAGTCCCCTCCCTGCAGAGAGGCTGGTGTTGGTTCCCACAGTCCGCTGGCTTCCAGAGGTGAGCTCTCAGGCGTATTTGCGCATGTGCATGCTACAGCCAGAGGCCACTCGAGGACCGCGTTGGAAACGGTGCTCTGAAAATGCCTTTAAAAAACGGTCCGTCCAGGAGCAGGAAGAGGAGGTGGTCAGGGAGGGCTGGCGCAACCTCTCTTTCCCTGACCAAAGAAATAACACTCTCTATAAATTAATGAGCCCATTGTAGGTTCGGTGAGGCGCACCGTGGAGGAAAATAGACTTGAGAAGGTGTTAAGCGAAAGGTGAAAATGTATAGTGCACTACCTTTAGGAAGAAAAGAATAACAGCCTCAGGATGATCAGGACTCACGGACCTCAGCGATTCAGTGGCTCCGTCCCGTCCCAGACTTCTTGAATGTGGGCCTTTGTGGTTTCCCAGATGGCACACAGTCCTGAGTCGGCCAGACACTCCTCTCTGTGCCGTGCTTTCTTTTTGTTTGCTGTCTTTCCTGGACACCTCGAGGGAAGTCTTCTCGCTTAGTCTGTGTTTAATATTATCATGCCCTAGAATACTAATCTGCCTGAGTGAGTGCAGCCACGCTGTGTTTCCTTTCTGTAGAACATGAGCAAAGGAACAGGAAAAAGTGTGAAACAGATTGAGTTGTCTTCGTTCTTGCTTTTCTTTGCGTTCCAAGTTGTAGTTCCAACATTTGCCAGCAGAGGGCTCTCTAGTCACACTTAAGGAAACACCCCCCCCCCACATTTCCATTGTTCTACCTCCTGGCTCTGTGGCTCTAAATACCTCACTGCAGGTTTATAAACTCTGCAGGTTTTTGTCGAGCAGCTACTATATGCCAGACACACAGTGCTGGGAGATGGCAAATAGGCATAAACAAGAAAGACATGACCTCTTAATATTCCCGAGGTTATAAAACTAAAAAGGACAATGCCCACCCATTAAACTGCCTTTGCCTAAGAGAGGTGATTCCTCAGAATCACAGTCTTTGAAGAAAACATCAGCTGCTTGCAATTCAGACAAATGTTTTAATTCTTCAGAATTTTAAATTCTCAGAATATTGATATATGGTTTGATCATCTTTTTAATAGCCTCCTAAAAACATACTATTGATCAGACGCCCACTGACTGCTGCTGACCCCAGGCCCTTGACACAGGACACAGTGCAGAGAGAGAGAGAGACTCCCTGGTGACAGCAGCAGACTGATACTGCCTCACCTGCACAGCCTTTTTACCCCTTGTTGTTATTGAGGACATTGCTTTTTGGAGAGGATTAATGTTTTCAAAGAACCCTGAGTTATATGAGAATATATAGAATGTAATTGTAACCCCAACAGGGGCTTTTTAAAAGAAGCCCCTGCTGGTGTTGCTGTCAGTTTTGCTGTACTGATGCTGGAGACGTTTCCGCTTGACTTGAAATGATTGGAACCAGTGGAACAAAATGCTGTAGCATTTGCACTACCAAGAAATAACACAAAATGACTTTGATTTGGTCATAGTTCAGTTATTTTTCTTAGAAGGGGCTTGGGAGGTAGAAGTTACTCAACATTTATCTTCATAATTTATGGGTTGAATAGTTGCTCCCAGCCTCATTTGAAAGCAGATGTTTTCTGGAAGTACATGCACATTTTCTAGGAAGAAACGTTAGGAATAGTGAGTGGTTTTTCTTCCCAAGGCGGCAAGCAAGAGCCTCGTTATGCATACAGCGTGGAACCGCGGGCCTTTGCAACTGAAATTTTTGCTCTGTTTCATCCGATTCATTTCATCAACGCTAATGCTTACGAGTTAGATACCATCAGTCCGGAATTTACACACGAGGACACGCAGGCACAGAGGGAAGTGACTTTTCCAAGCTCGCTGAACCGAACAGTGAAGGAGCCGCGGTCCCGCCCAGGAAGTGGGGCTTTGGAGTGCATGGCTCTCCGCAAACTTCTTGCCTCTTCTAACAACCACCGAGCCTGCCAAGGGATAGAGCAGCAGCAAGTTTACCATCCTTCTCTTTCAGAAGACATTGGCTGCCCAGGGAGCAAAGAAAGAAGCGATACGTCCTTGAGGTTTAGTTGTTGTCTTCAGTGTGAATCACAAGTATTATGAGCGTGCTGGCGTATCTAATACCAGGGGAAATGCAGGGCAGCTAATAAACTAGTGACCTCATCCGTAAAGTGGGAAAATCCCACAGTTGTTTTAGAGGAACAAGTGGGTCCAGCAGGAGAGCGTCCTGTCCTTGAAGTCCTTAAGTGCGGCTTGTGCTGGTGATTACTGTCGCTACTTCGTGTGGGGACTCAGGTAATTTTGGCTGACTAAAGAACTGCACTGAAACGTTCCGTGGAGGAGAAAGCCCACCTCTAAGTAGAACTGGATTCTGAGACCATTTACAAAGCGAACGTCAATATGGTTGTTCGTCAAAGCGCCAACTGCGATGCCTCGCAGCGGCAGCGCCTCTGCGCAGGGTCCGTCCCGCAGGAGCAGTCGATGTTCCATTGGACAGTGCTCGGAGGTGTCGTTTAGGGGAGCTTAGTCGGGCTGTGGCCAGCGGGCTGGTCTGCATGTCCGCCCCACTCCCAGAGTCAAGACGCTTGTATGTGCTGGGATCTCCGAGAGAGAGGTTTGCTCTGCGGTGTGTCGCAGTCTAACTGAGCTGTAGAGCCGGCCGCCTCCTCACAGGAAACAAGTTCTTCATGGAACACTTCCTCGCAAGTAGAAATTGCTCTGTAACGCCGAATCCATGAAGGTTTGCGCAGAGCTTTGGTTGGGCTGGATGCCTACATTTTAAGCACTGTTTAGGTACTTCCACGTGTTCTCATGTGACCTACAAAACACCGTCCTTCCAGGGCGACGCGGAATTCGAGCTCTGAGCACGTCGTGATTATCCCAGAGTCGCCGAAGAGAGGAGCTGGGTGCGAGCCTAGACGTGCCCGGCTGTGAGTCCCTCCCAGTCCCTCCGAGGTCGTGGTCCCAGCTCCCAAGGTGTCGCGGGTGCACTGGACACACCAGGGGCGCCTCTGCGACCACGCTGTCCCCACGGCGCTGACTGCGGCACCTTCCCCATCCCAGACAGCTGAGCCGTGTTCTCCGTCCCTCAGGGGCCGCTGCTCCGCGCCTCGGGTTCCTGGCCTCTCCCTGGCAGCCCCGGCCCAGCTGTCCTCTTACTCATTTCTGACCTCGGCACTGAAGGTCCGGGAGAAATAGAGAAAAGGACTTTTTGTCAGCCGAAGTTGGCAGGATTTTAACAGCTTTTATGAAACACCTTGTAGGGGAAGAGGTTGAAGCCGCTGGCTCGCAGTGCCTGCACCTTCCCTGAGAACGGGACTTGGCAGGTTTGTCTCCGGACTAGATCTTGGGGAGGCTCAGAGGAAGGGGAAGAAAACAGCGCTTGTTAAGCACCCACTGTGCACAGGTGCTGCATACATATTAGCTGCTTTGATTGTAATCATCTGACATGAGTGTGATTCGCCTCATTTCGAGATAATGAAAACTGAAGCCCAGGGAGAGGAGGAGCTGACCCTATTCGCACAGTAATAAGTGGCTGCAAGGTGTGTTAGGGTCCAGAGCGCCTGATTCCGGCCCTGGCTGTGCCACCGCTCGGTGAGGCACAGTTTCCCCAGCACAGAAGAGAGGGAAGCGCTGCAGGCACAGGTGTTCGGAGCATTAGAGAGGCGCTGAATAGCACTGTTTTAAACCGATAACGAGACGGAATGTTCAGAGGAATGCATTTTAACATCTCAGTTTTCTCAAGTCATGGGTTGATGAGAAATGGAACTCTAGCTATAAGAACAGTGATTCAGTCACAGTTTTAGCCTTTATGAAGCCCTTCACTGCGAAGCTCAGAGTGGCCATTGAGCCCTGGTGGAGGCTGCTTGGCCCCTCTGAAGTGCGGACCTCACAGGTGTTCAGCTTCCGGAAGTGAGACAGGCAAGGGAAGACACGCGCCTTCCTCCAGACCCTCATTAATCTGTATCTGCCCTGCATCTCAAGTTGGTGCTTTAATCCCAAATACTTTTTTGCTTAGTAATTCCTTCATAGAAGTGAATCAAAACTGGGCTCAGTGGCACACACCTGTGATCCCAACACTTCGGAGGCTGAGACCAGCCTGAACTACACAGCAAGACCCTATCTCCAAACAACAATAACAACCAAGTGACCAATTAATTGAGTAGCCACAAAATAAAATATCTGACAGCACACATTTTCTACTCTAAAACCGGTCTCTCAACCTTGGCACTAGTGGCATTTTGGGGCAGGTGATTCTTTGGGCCGATGTCTTGTGCGTGGCTGATGAGCATCAGCCCTGATGTCTGTCCCCAGCATCTCTCTTGCTAGTGACAACCACGAGTGCTGTCTCCACACATTGCCGAGTGTCTGTGACTTTGCACACCTGGGAACACAGCATAAGGGAGTGTTAAGAAATCACGGTCTACGCTCTCATGCTTTTCTACCTGTGCCATCTTACTCTTTAATGAGATCTAACGGTGATCAAAGAACCCAGAATCAGGGCTAAAAAGAACATGGGAAAGAAAATCTGGCCTACCCAGCGTACGTAAATGATTATGTTAATAAGGTTGGGAAGCTTTCAGTCAGTCCCGGTCCTAGTCACTGTCCTCATCTCTGAGACTCAATAGCAGACACCAGTAAATCCGTGTTGGCTCGTGCTTGAGAAGTTTAAGTCCCTTCATGGTCCGGCGGTGTGGTGGAAGGGCTCAGCCTGAAAGGGTTCAACTCAACTCCCAGCGAGCAGAGGGTGAAGGAGGAGCCAGGGAGGGAGATACAGCCGACCAGGCCTCTTCTGGTCTTCGGCCGGACCCCGCCTTCTAGCAGCAAGAGGACTGTTCCACCTGTGATCCAGGCACCTTTCGAAAGCCCTGCCTGTGGAGGCTTCAGGGGACATCTAGCCATAAACCAAAACAGAGGCCTTAGCTCAAGAAACACTGGGCTGAATAGGATTCATTCGGGCCGGGGCTGTCGCTCAACGGTAGAGCACTTGTGTAGTATATGTAAGGCCCTAGGTTCAGTCCCCAGCACTACCAAAAAAAAATTCGTTCAATTTTCAAATGTTTGTCGAACACCTACTGTGTCCTAAGCACTGCAAAACATCAGTGACCAAAGACTCGTGTTTTCTTGGTGAGTAGCTTCTACCTAAATAAATGAGACAGGTTATGTATCACGCGTGCTTTGGAAAATGAAGGGATTGACAGGATAAGGGAGATTGAAGGTACAGGGCTTTGGTGATGAGGTTGCAGCGTTAAACTGCGAGTCTGAATAGGCTTTAAATGTCTGGCCGATTACCGTTGGCTAGTGGTGGAGGGACCGGAAGCCTCAAGGCATCTGATCCGATGTTAATTCCACTCCTCGATGTGATGTCTTTTATTCCCCTGAGTGACTGTTGCCTATGAACATCCACCTTTTGCTGTGAACTAGCTTTTCTCTTGCGACGTGAAGGCCTTAAGTGGTTTTCCACTTAGAAGAGGTAATTCTCCCCTTGCAGTGACTCTTCTTTCCAGGGGCATCTGGCAGACCTGGAGATGGTTTTTGGTGGTTGTGAGCAAAGGAAAGTATGCTACTGCATCCACGCGTGGAAGGCGTCTGGCAGTGCCCAGGGCAGCCCCTCCACAAAGCGTGATGTGGTTCGCAGCATCCATGGTGTGAGTGGTACTGAGGTTGGGAACCTGAACTGAGGGCTTAGAGTTTTCACCTCCTACTAAGAACATGAAACGATTACCAAATGGGTCTCACATACAGATGCTGGTAAACATCATTTCCTACCACAGCATGCGCTTTACTCAGTAGAGAATGGAGCGATTGTTAAAATAGGAAGACATGAACCACCCCTCATTCACAGACACCTACTCTCCAGAACTTCCCAGAACTTTCCAGAACTTCCTTTTGTGGGCTCCTTCATCTGGATGTTTACTTACTTTCAAACACAGAGTTTTGTGCAGCTTCTTGCATGGAGGATTCCCAAGTGATTATTTCTTTCTCTTGATTTTCTTCCAGGTGTTTGTGTAGGCTTTGAATATCTACAGTCTCCAAATAGCAAGATCTCAGTTACACCATAACGAAAAAGAAAAACCACATTCAAACACACGTTACACATATCCTATAGATATGCGAGGGCTTTGCTCTTCAAATGTTTTTTCTGGGAGATATGTAGCCTGGCTTAAGTGTTGTGGCTTTTCAACAGATCTTTATTGTTTGTGGTGAATCGTTTAAAGGAAACAAAGAGGACGTTGTGTGATGGCAACCCTGACCACAGCATTGCGATGGGTCGGGGCCGTGCACACCCTGACCCGTTGTGTGTGGAAGCCGAACGGCCTTCTGCAGCCAGACCAGCAAGCAGATTGCCTTTCATCTCTGGCCTTGAGGTCGCTGGACCTGCGAGGCGGGATTGAAGGAGCTGCGCTCCTGATGGCGAGCGTCGGCCGTCCATAGATTCTCAGAAGTGTTGGAGGCCAGAGCTCATCGGACCCTTCCCTGGCCTTAGCTCACATCCATGCGGCTTTATCTGTTTCACACGTTCCCTCTGCTCTCCCTCCCCATTTCATCTTTCTGTCTCCTCTCCTAATCCCTCTTGCTGATACTTTTCCTCTCAATTACCTGGACCCTTCAGGAGTTCTTTGCAACATGTTATTTCTATTGGCGTTTATGATATCCTTGTTGGGTTATCTTACAGTTCTTTAAGCACTGCTGTTTTGTTTCTGTATTTCTTGATTTGTATCATGCTAGATTTAATTTCATTCACATCAGAAGGATCTTCTTATGTCCAAAATTTTTATGAACCGTGTGGTAACTGTCTCATATCTATTGACTGTTGGTCAATATTGACGCATAAACCTCTGTAGTAATGCCCTGCTCCAGTGCTGTCCTGTCCCCTGTCCATGACCCTCAGGTATGAGCCAGTGATACCAATTCTGTTTTGCTGTCGAAGTGATTGTGAACCAGTATCCGCCAGAGACACAAAGTGGTAACTTGAGGCTAACCTTAACTTTCTCATGGGAGTGGTCCAGGAAGGTCTGCGAGCCTGTGAAATGTGTCAGTGCACGTTTTGCACAGTGGACCCGGAATTTCTAATTCTGGAAAAAACTGGAAAAGATAAGTTTAAAAATTACAAGGAAAGTCTAAATGTGATAGCGAGTTTGGGAAGGATAACTCATTGAAGGTTTTGTAATTCTAGGATAAAAGAGAAATGAATGAAACAAAAGCAATGTCATGGCGCCTCGACGATTGGTAAAGATTGCTTGTGTTTTTATATTGCTGCGTTATAAGATCAAAAAGGGCAAAAATGGTAAGGGCATACTTAGAGAGAAACATGGAAGTGAAATATTTTAAATACTCTTACCTCAAAAAGGAAAATACTTCAGAGACGTGATTAAATTGTATTGCTCTCCTTATACTCAAACAAGAACCATGAAAATTTCAGTTGGAAACAGGAGTGGTAAAGGAAGAAGAGATGCTTTGGCATCAGATTTATGCTTGAATTTCATTTCACTACCTATTAGCTTTTCTCTCTCTCTCTCTCTTTTTTTTTTTTTTGCCTTTGAGCTTATTATTTCACCTCTCTAAGGCTCAATTTTGGTTTTCTTTTCTTCTTTGGAAAAAAAATTCCTCTCTAGCTGATAAGGATTAAAGACAATAATTCCTATCAAATGTTGGACTTATTAAATATATTATAGATAAAAATACCACCCCTATATATGAGCTTTCTTCAGCTTTCTTGGGTGACTTTCTGTATCTCCCAAGTTCTGCAGATTTCATTGGCACAGATAAAATAAGTCCAGAAAAGGTCATTGTGTTTGTACTAAACACATACAGGGTTTTTTCCTTGTCACCACACCCTAAACTATATAGTATAACAGAAATTTAGAATGTTCATTACATTAGGGTTATAAGTAATTTAGAAACTAAAGTATATCAGAGGATAGGCAAGGTTATATGCAATTAACACCTTTTCATATGAGGGATTTGAGCAGCTGCATGTAGATTTTGGTGTTTTGTGGGGTGGTTCCTAGAACCAGTCTTCCACGGATGTGGAGGGGTGGCTGTAATTCATCCAAACTGCTTACAGTACAGCTCTTTGCTTTTCTTTCTCTCTCCTCTTTCTCTCCTTTCATCCCCCACCCCCCCTTTCTTTCACAGTCCTGGGGGTGGAACCCAGGGCCTCTGCTGTATTCTAGGCAAGCACTTAAAGACTGAGATACACCTCTTAACCCATGGCTCTTTTATATGCAGAAAAAGAGGAACCGATAACAGTTATGAAAAGTATACATTGTGATTCCCAAGCACACCCTGAAGGATAATGTTTTTGAGCTGAACTCAGGTTCAGAGAAGATACATGTCTGGTACAGATCTTGCTGCACCGGGGGGAGGCTGAATGATAAGAGAAGATTTCACACTAGTGTCTTTCTAAAAATAAGTGGCTCCTTGAACTTAACCACTGCTGATTCCTTTCCTTGAGAGCACTCAAGTGTGAGTCCCTTTGTTTTTGGTCATTAGTAACTGTGAAACCTTCCAAGTATTTTAATCTTAGTTTATTCATTTGTAAAATGAAATTCTAATCCTTGCTCTGCCTGACTGCCCCCCACCATTGTAAGGATCGAATGAAATGCTGTTACTAAAACTCCATTGGGAACTACAAGTCATCAAATAATTGTAATGAAGTTTGTTCAACCACCATTGCCACCATAATAGAAACCAGTGACTCAGGAAGCGGAAAATCCACCCGTTTATTGTGTATATCTTATCATAGCCCTTTATCTCTTTTCTCCTTTCATGCACAGTTTGGAATTGAAGTGGTCTCACATTGGATGGTCACAGACAGAGTATGAGGTCTGTGAGAATGAGGGCGTGTTGCTGTTGGAAGTGACCAGGAGGGGGTATACCACAGAATCTGCCTTCGTCGGTGTAACGGTAATGTCTCCCCAATGCGGACTGTCAAGCTGAAACTCATGTTATTTATTCAGTTGGGGCCTTCGATGATTTTCTTGGAAAAATTCCAAGACCAAAAATTTTTCAAACTTCAGGGCTTGTGAAATTCTGTCTATTTCAAGTACAGAATTTCTTTGTCCTCTTATGTTGCTTTTAAGTTCATTAACTCCGAGATTGTTGAGTTTTTATTGTTTTACTTTTGGCAGTACTGGGGATTGAACCCAGGGCCTTTCACACACTAGGCAAGTTGCTGTACCACTCAGCAACATTCCCAGTCCTTAGAATAGTTTTTTTAAACCCAGTTTTTAGTTTTGAAGTCATTTCATTAGTTTCTTTCTTTTTTTTGTGGTACCGGGGATCGAACACAGGTCCTTGCGCTTGCGAGGCAGGCCACCGAACCGCTGAGCTAAATCCCCGGCCCCTCATTAGTTTCTATACACTCTTTAATTCTAAAAGTTTGATTTTACGGAGAAATGTATCCAGCTTAATGAAACTGGCTGACTTCTGCTTTGGAGAGAAAAGTCGTATACAATAGATGCTGAGGGGTGCCCAGAGCAAATTTCAGTCCTCCAGTGGCTGTCTCCTAGTGTACAAACAGTCACTTTCCATAGATGCAGCGAATGAGGCAAAACAGGAGAGTTTCACCTATCTTAGAGGTCACCCATGTCGTGTAAAATTAGGAAAGTATATCTTAGTGCAGAAATTCTGCAATACAGAGATTTTCAGATAATCAAAACAGGGCCTGGTGGTGCACGCATGGAACCCCAGCACAGGGTGCTGAAGCAGGTGAATCAAAAACTGAGGGCTGGCCTAGGCAATTTAGCAAGACCTTGTCTCAATATAAAAAACAAAAATGGCGGAGGGATGTAGCTCAGTGGTAGAGCACTTGCCTGGCACAGGTTCAATCCCTAGTGCTGCCACCCCCAACTCCTGCCAAAATCAGGCACTGGCTTATGGACTAGACAGGTTGCTATTCCTGCATTACCCTGGGGCAGAACCATGGTTTCTAGAATTGAAGGATTTGTAGGAGTTCTTTTTATAATACCAGCTCATCAAGAGAATGAGACCGTGGTCATGGAGAAGAAGCCTTAGGGCCTTTCTTCTTCAGTGTGATGAAAAAGGCAGATACCAGCCTCTGGGGGAGGACACATCTGTTAGTGCGTTCAGATCGCCCAGCGAACCGTTTGCACCTAAATTCCACCATATCCAGACTCAAACTTTGCCTTTCCTGTGAAGGTGCTCTTTGTTCTAGACACATTGGTACTTCATTGTTACTAAAGCAGCAGAAAACTTAGCATGTGCTATAATTTTCCAGAAGATGGCTTATGGAAAAGGAAAGAACCTGCCCGGTGGCTTTCTAATAATCCCCTGGCCGCCATAGAAAGTGCCACACACTGTAGTTGGCGTTTGGGGCCACGCTGCTGCTTGTCTTGCTGGGGAGAAAGAACCAAGTAATGTGTATCTAGTAAGGCTGACTGTGCACCCAAGGCTGCCCGCTGCGTGGGAGGCCTTCGTCAAGACAGCCTGAGTCCCTGGGAGAAAACTACCTAGAGCAGCACACCTGGCGGTGGACGCAGCTTCTCGGCCACGTGGCTGGGGACAGAGGATGGGGGAGGTACTGTCATCCCGTGCTGTTTGCCCAGGTTTGAGTTGTGCATCTTTACCTGACTGCGTTCTCCGAGTACCTTGCCCGTGCAGGATTCTGTAGACCCCGCGGGGGTAAATGCTGTGTAACCGCACGGTGAGGACCATGCAGGGATGAATAACTTCTGCGTGTGGCGGGGCCAGGAGTACCACGGCTTCCCTTGCCCGGTAAAGGTGGTCTGGAGGGAGCCTTGGCATTGCAGACAGAGAGCAAGTGGAAGCCGGGGAGGTAACAGCCTTCAGCAAAATGTTCCCGCTGCAGACCCACCAATGCTTGTCAGAGCCTCTGACTTGAAATGGAGCCGTCCTTTGTGGCTATGGAAACGGGGATTTTAAAGTTTCAAATTGTGCACGCGTTCCACTTTATAAGAAAATGCACAGGTCTGTGGGTCCACACAGCTCCCATTCGGGTCTGAGAAGAGCTAGGGCTATATCCAGGCTGCAAATGGAGAAAGACCCGGCTTCAGGGCCCCGGGCTCAGGATCCCTCAGGAGTGAATGCTCCTTCTCCCCTCCTCCACCTCGTCCTCCCCTCTCCTTCTCCTCCTCCTGCCGTCTTTTCCTCCCTCTCCTTTATTTTAAAACCAACTTGGAGTCGAGGGAAGGCAATGAAATAAAATTGTGCTCATAAGACAGAGAAAAGTAAAAATTTAAAACTTATGCTGCTTTTTCCAATGATGGAATTGTTTAAAGAGGAAAAGCAGAAATTTAACTGTAGGAAAGATCTATGTAGCCTGCATCTAAAATGGTTTATTATAATTTTTAAAAACCTTCCTTAATATTAAAAACAGATTTAAGAGCCACGAGTTTAGTCTAGAATGGGGAGAATAAATGTCTTTCTATTATAGAATATTTATTTTTATTTTAAAAGGACTTTATTTTCCCTTAAGGTCAACCAAGTGTCAGCTACGGTTGGAAAAGATTTCACTATGACTCCATCCAGACTGATTCAGTTTGACCCAGGTATGCTTTGTGTCTACGGTGTGTCTCTTGTTTTTATAAACAAATCTGGAGACTGTGGAGAAGACAGGATATCATCTAACGTCACCAGACTAGAAGCTCCTCAGGGACTTACCACGCACTCTCAGTCAGATGAGTTTGGATCTGATGTTCTGCTCCTGTTTTTTTTTTATTAAAGTGAATATTTATTTAAATAGCAAAAAAAAAAAAAGGGCCAAGGATTTAGCTCAGTGGTTTTGCTGCTTGCCCTGCAAGCACAAGGGCCCGCGTTCAATCCCCAGTTCCAAAAAAAAAGAAACAAAAAACAAAACCAAATAACAAAAAAAATAAATAAAATAGAAAAACATAAATAAAAAATATAAAATATCAAAGCAACCATCCAAAACAATCCAGACCCCCCCAAACCCCAGGATCTTTAAAAGGTTAAAGTCTTCACACAAAGCTGTAATAATTTGATTGCCTCATACTTCGATGAGAATTTTCAGAGTTGGCGGGGCAGTACCAGGGTTCGAACTCAGGACCTTGCACTTGTCAGGCAGGTGTGGTGCCACTGAACTATACCCTGGCCCTGAATTTTCAGAGTATTTCCATGGACTCTTAAAGAGTATTTCTAAATGATCCCTCTTGGAATAGCTTGATGCAAGGGGAAATTGTTGCTTGATTAAAGCATGTTTTAAATGTTTTCTTTTAAATTTGTGGCAAACTTTTGCTATGTGTATAAGGGAACACAAAGATAGCATCAGGCTAGGAATGTAGCCCAGGGGCGAAGTGCTGCTGTGCTTTCCCACAATGGACAAGGTATTGTGTTAGATCTCGAGGACATACACATGTGTGCACACCACACACACGCACGTGCACTCGCAAAATACTGTGCCCTCTGTCAAGGGTATTCTAATGTTGTGTTGTGTGAGACGTGGACATGAAAATACCCACCAACAGAACATTGGGACCGAAGGATGAGCCATTGTTCTGTTAAAGAAAATCCTGTAAGGGCTGGGGTTTAGCTCAGTGGTTCCACCACCTGCCTTGCAAGCACAAGGTCCCAAGTTCAATCCCCAGTACCAAGAAAAGAAAAGAAAAAATCCTAGAAGACTTCCCAGGAGAAGCAGTATTTAGCAGGGGGAAGAAGACGAAAACCTGAGGCTGGAAGACTGGTCCAGAGCAGCGGCTCTCCTTCGAGGAGGAGCCCCGTGCTGAGCTCAGCCTCATCCTTTCCCTGGCACACGTGGAAGGGCAGGCGGTCACCTGTCCCAAGGCAAATGGCAAAGCCCTCGAGGAGAAGCCAGGGCCTGTGGATTTGTGTTTCCCTGCAGAGATGTTCTGCACTCAGAACAACCCACCAATTCTGAAGTCTTGCCATTGCCCACTACTAATATAAAATTTGGGGCAAAGGCGAAAGAAAATGGCTTACGTAGAATCACAACCATCTTAGTTTTAAGCAAAAGTAATCCCTTCCTGTAGTACCCCACAAATAGTAGCAAGACACTGGTTGATTGTATTAGCAAAGTATCTCATGCTGGGTAATTTAACTTTACCGTTCCCAAGAGTCAAAATGTTTTCCAAAGGAACAGATCTCTAATATAGCATTTACTAAAAACCATTGAGGAAATGTCTTTCAATAGGGAAATCTGCTTTGCAGCAGAATATCCAGGAATTCACCTACTATGTAAAGTGGCATTTGTCTATACAAAATGACACCTTCGCTCTCCTCTTGGACACCTTTTGTTTTATGGTAAGGGGGATGCAGTTCAAGCCTTCTAAAAATGCAGGTATATCTCAGGTAGGTAACACATACTTTGCACCTTGAAAGTTCAAGAGGAAGAGGGGAAAAACAACAACAGCAGTGACAACAGTGACCTCACTTCCAGTCTCATTAACCTAAACCCCACACCTGCTGGGCATAGACGCCAAGTTGAAATGCACACAACAAAGCAGAAACATTTAAATGGAAGTTAGAATAGAATTTCTCCAGCCATCTGTTTCTGCTCCACAGGGCCCAGTGAAAATGTCAAAGTTTTTTTGGGGGAAGAGATACTATAATTTTTAGAAGATGATTCTTGTAATTAGAGGGAAATTAGTTGGGGATAGTATTTCTCCAGAAACTATCTGTACTCTTTCTTTATTGTCAGCTTCTTACCATTCATGCCAGTTTTATTGCAACAGCGACCTATGCAGTCTCTCAAGTGGTAGACTCTGCTGTCTACCCGAGTACCCGTGCCTACATGAAACTCTCAAGTTCATTTTGCTGAAACATCCACTTCCAGAATGCTGTTCATTTCTCCTTTTGAGAGGCCTCCCGTTGCCTGTTGTGTAGGGTCTGGAAGTGGCCACCTGGTGTCGTCCCAGGCTCTCTACAAAAATGTTCTGCAGCCTGTGGTCTCCGCACTCCAGCCAGCAGAGGTATACCCCCGCCCTAAGCAAGGCCTTGTCTTAGCTGGCTTCTCATACTTGCCCATCGTGTTTTCCCATTTCCACACCCTTCCAACTCTGGGTCCCCCGTGCTGTGCAATCCGTGTCTTTGGCAGGTGGTCACACACGGTTCTGAGAAAGTTTGGACCTTTCGGGTACAGCCAGAACTCCATATCCACAGATTCTGTATCCATCTCGTCAACCAACCACAAACCAAACATAAGAAAAAAAAAAAATTTGTGTCTCTACCGAACAGGCAGAGTTTGATTTTCTTGTTATCATTACTTGAACAATACAATAAAATAAGGATTTGCACAGTATTAGGTATTGTAAGCAATACAGAGGTGATTTAAAGTTGCAGGAGGATATCCATCCGTTCTGTGTGGAGGACTTGAATGCTCACTGCTGACTTTGTTATCTGAGGGGATCTGGAGTTAGCCCTCTTTGTATACTCAGGGTGACTTGATTTGTCTTGTCCCCTCCAAGAAGTTTGAAACTCCTTTAGGTCAGAGAGTGGCTTATATTACACTTGGTATTCTCCACAGCATCTAATGCAAAGGGAAGCGTGTAAGTTCAAAACATGTTTTGGTGGATCGAGCCATTCCTCCATAGGATGGAAATTATATAGAATTTTATATTAATGCTTCAACTGCTTTTGCAAAGAATACAAAAGTAATTGGTTTGGGAACAGACTCAATACTGAAAGCTTAAGAAGTAAGCTATTAACCCATTTTTAAACAGCATTAATCCAGGTACACCTAATTTTTTCCTTTGTAGAACAAGTGAATGGTTTCCTCTTTCCACTGGATTCTGGTGGGGATTAAGGAGAATTTGATTAGATAATGAGATCTATAAGATTTGCCTTTAAGAAAGAGGCCATCAGCCCAGCGTGGTGGCTTTCACCTGTACTCCCAGCATTCGGGTGGTGGAGGCAGGAGGGCTACATAGCGAGTTCACGGCCAGCCTGGACTTAAATAATGAGACTTTATCTCAAGGGGGAAAAGAGGCTGTCACGGAGATGGCACAGTTGACAGGCATAAATCTGTAGAAGAAAATCTGCAAGGAAAAAAAGTCATTTTCAGAAGAAAAGGCTAGGAAAAAATGTTTACCTTCTATAGAGGATTTATGAGACTGAAAGCACCCAAATAGCCAATGAGAAAGTGTGGAGAAAACATTTCAAACTTAGCCCTGCAAAGTTAAACCATACATTCACTACCTTTTCCCCCTTCGGCTTGCTCCTTTCACTGCGAAGCAGCCTTCTCTTTGCTTCCTGCTTCCACTTTCTCTTCTAAATAAACTCAAGGAGACTTTCCCATTATTCCCATCAGGGAAGTCAGTCTGGACTAGGACGTGGCAGATGTTGCCTCCTTTCTTTCTTTTTGTGCTGTGGTTTCTTTGCTTCCCTTCCTGGGGCGATGGATGACTGGGTTTTGTTGGTAGCGTCAAAACCGCCTCGTATTAGGGTCACAGTGTTGCTGTGTATACCAAGCTGGATCGGGACTCTGTGAGAAGAGACAGACAGACAGAGGGAAAACACACAGGCTTAGTCTGTTTCTAGGATCCCCCGCCCATAGATTTTCTCTCTAGGGAGCGCAGACTGCTGAGTGTTACATCATCAGAGAAAGCGTCTGTGGCTAAAAGGACCTGGGGAAGGCGGGCAGCCGGCGCAGGCACAGGCACCTGTCTGGAGAAATCTCGTCTCAAGGGTTCCATGAAGAGCGTGAAGGGCCATCTCGTAATCACTTCTGTCTGCATCAGCATCTTAAGATTTTTGAAACGATGAAGATTTTTAAATTGTAGTATTTGCTTATTTTGGGGCAGAGAAGGGACAGGTTGGGGGAAAATGACATCTCAGATCTCATCTACTAACAGTGTTTTTTAATCCCTTGCATGGTGCAGCTCACTTTTGTTACAGTGTTTGCATTGAAACGGAATCATCATTGTCCAGGAACAAATGCGGTCTTTTCATACTATTTGGAAGAACAGCGGGGTGTCAGTGAGTCGTAGCAGTACAATAGCTCACTCGGGCTATTGCAGTCTAGCTGTAGACATGTTAATTAATATATTTCTCTGACACCTAGGTGATTGAAATAGCAATTAAAGAGTAATTAAAATGTTTACTTCTTGTAGGAATGTCAACTAAGATGTGGAATATAGCAATTACCTATGACGGATTAGAGGAAGATGATGAGGTCTTTGAAGTGATTCTGAACTCCCCTGTGAATGCAGTTCTTGGCACAAAGACAAAAGCTGCAGTGAAAATTTTGGACTCAAAAGGAGGTATTCTTTTGATCCTCATCTCGAAATCAGGAGCAGTCCTGGCGCTTTGGCTGCTGGCTTTCAGCAGCCACTATGCTTGATAACACCTTCAAATCAAAATGCTTAATTTCTTGTCAAGAAAGCAGCCTCAGTCGTGATGTAGGCCCTTTATGCCAGTTTCTGCTTCATGCAGTTTTCCTCCCGCTAAGAACTATCGCTTGAGAAAAGCAACAAGTCAGTGCCCGAGTTGTTTTTTTCCTGACCGTTTGTTGTTCTCACCAAGGGGGAAACGGAGTTGGTGAGAATCTAGCGACAATTATTTTCCCCGAGAGTTCGGAAGGCTGTAATTATCTTGCTCTGTTAAAGAGAGCTCTCTGTGCCTAAAACCCGAGCCCCACTGTAGTGTGCTGGGAAAACCCTAAGGGAAGGAATGGAGAAAAAAGATGTGAAGATACAGCTGGCTCAGGAGGCAGGAGCAGCTGGAGAGTATTAATGAGTGACTCTGGCTGGCAGAGCCAAGCGAACCCTGAGTACTAGATGCTAAAGAACAACCTGTGAGCTAAATAAAATAAAGACCAGCCAAAGCATTTGGTGCTCTGAGGGTTTTCCTGCCAAATCCCTTCTACTTTCTTGTCCGTTTTACGCCCCCACATTTGTACCTGCCATGTCTTGTGGCCCATATTTCTTTCCTGTCTGGAATCCGCTGTCTCCTCACTGGCCCCTCTGTAATAAACCTGTTTCCATAACACCTCTCCCTTCCACCTTCTTCCTCACCAAATTTCTTTCTTTTTCCAGAAGAAATTTCTGGTCACATAAAATACACAAAATGTGTGAAATACACACTTTATATATGAAATAGAAAATATCCTGGGCTGGGGATGTACCATGACATCTTTTAAAAAATTCCAGTTTCTACCTCCAGAAGATCAGGGGGAAGTCAAATATTTTTGAAGTGCTTGTGGAATAATATTTAATCAATGAAAAAAGCTGATATATTGAGAACTGTAATAGAAAGTTAAAGGAGGCATTTCCCAAGGATACAGTATGATTATAAAATCATGACAACGATTTTCGTTTGTGCTTTTATGAAATCAATTTCATGACTTTATAAGCACCCTGTAGATGTGCAGAAGGCACCACTTTTCTGGACAGAAGCTGATGAGCAGTAAAGGGGTTTCTGGCAAATGGCAGAAAGGCAACATCTGGTGGGAACTGCATCCATCTCAGGGTGATGACGAGCCGCTCCGGGGGCTGTGTCACTGTGATCCCTTATCTGTGTGGGAAGCGTTCTGACTCCTGCCGTCCTCATGCCTCCAGGACGGTGCCATCCTTCATCTCCTGTCAGCCCGAGCAAGCACAGCGCACGGGAGATGGGCGTTTGGCACCTGCTGTCCCCAGGGCCCCGCTCACCCGCCACTCCTGGTTCCCTGCATCTGGAAGGAAGACCCCCTCCGTCTTCCAAGCAGCCTGCGGTCACCAGGGGAGACTCCCTGGGGGGCTTTGATTCTGCAGGGCTCCCTCGGAGAAAGCTTAGGACCCGTGGGAATGGCAAAGTGGTAAGGACCAGGCCTCCTGGGGGGCACATGTTGACTGAATGGCAAGTCTTCTGCGTAGGGAAGAAGCCATTCGGGGCTCAGAGTGACTTGGGCCGTGGCTCCGTGCAGAAGCTCGCAGTGCCTTTTGTATACAAAGACCACGACATGTTCTAATTGAGGCAGCAGATGCATTGATTCATTGATGTGGTTTCTGCTCATTTCCTTTTGCCATAAAGATACTGGGGGAAAAACCAGTGACCCCAGAACAAAAGGGGTTTAAGGGATCCATTTGGGTATGGAAACCACCATGGCCTTCACCTTAATAGCACAGCACTGTGCAAAGCACACTCTCATGAGTATGAGTGTGTGTTCTTGAACCTTTGTGTGCTACAGATGTGCTAAAAAGCAAATCTCTTCTCCCTAATTTGAAACTATGTATGCATAAATCAACACAGTTATCAGTGTGATTAGATGTAATGATTTTTTAAATTCCAGTGATTTAGGCTTGAAACAAAGTCCTAAGAAATATGTTTAAAATGCGTTCAGTTCATGAGCTCATACTGGAAGGGTTACCCTGTGGCTCATTAGTATTCAGGGTGTTCCTTGTCCTCTGTTGGTTTCAGGTCCGTCCATCCTCTGTGTATAGAAATGGGACAGACGTCGTCTATACTGTAAGCATAGCAGAAAGTTGCTACATTTTTCCTATTTATGGATGCAAAATATTTGGTGAACCTATGTTTCATAAATGTGTTCATCTAGTTTTGTTTTTTTTGGTATTTTATTTTAGGAGACTGAGGTGAGGGGGAAACTTTCATCTTTTTGCTTAGATACAGTTTTTGAACTGCTCATTTTTATAAAAAACTTTTTGTTTGCTATCTTGATGTTTTTCCTTATTATTGTTGTTGATTGGCTTCCATAAGTATCATGGGATGGTGTCCTTGCAACTGGAGGATGACCGTTTCCCAAGTCGCAAAAGGAAGGACGAAGTAGCCGTCATTCCTCAGCCACAGAAGAAAGACAGAGCGGCAGAGCCACCCCAAGCAGATAAGGTAGAATCCACAACTGGCTCGCACCTCCCCAGACAGGTATGAAAATCTTCTTTTTTGCCTATCTACCTCATAACAAGCTGTTCGCTGGGCCGTAAACACACTTAGTTCACAAAATAGCCTCCAAACTTGGGGACAAGATTACTCAACACAAATGCTGCCGACAAATGAAAATCCAAAGATACTTAATTGTGTTATCAACTTGCATCAAGCCAGTTCTAATTGCCTCTCCTCCCCATAGGGCCAGCTGCCCTCTTTTCCAAAAAACTGCACTGTGGAATTAAAGGGACTCTTCCATTTCGAAGAAAGCATCCAAAAGCTGTACCAGTGCGATGGGATCACCTGGGAAGCCTGGAACCCCCAAACCAAGGTGGGCACAGGCTGAGAAGCCAGGTGTGCTTTCCTGTGTATGTCTTAGGTGGGCTGATAGAATGGTCCGCTGTGCTTCTGCGAACTCGTGCCATGCCTGCCTCCCTGCCCTCACTGTGCCTGGAAGGCCAAATCACAACACACAGTGTCAAACCAATACATTGCCATCGATACAGTTTAAGAATTTTACTTATCTCATTTTGTTATTAAAATTCAGAGGCGTGAAGTTGAAACTGCTGGCTGAGCAAGTGTTTTCTGTAGGAAGCCCTTGCATTTCTCGGGATGGAAAATTGGCCTCTGGCTGACTCGATATAATCGTAGTGAAGTCAGGAGATGCGTGGGGCCCCTAGTGCTGAGATCAGTCTCTGGATTGTAAAGCCAGCTATGATGTGAACGCAGACAACTGTTTTTCAGGAGGTGGAAAACAAGGCCTGCCCGGCTGGATGGCACCTTCACTCAGGCTACTGTCACACCGCGGGCGCAGAGCAGAAAAGCACCTGGGACGCGGCTGCTCGGGTTTGCAGGGAACAGTAAGCAGCCCCGTGTAACGTTTCATCGGCGTTGTCCGTGATTTCTCTCTTTTCTCGTGAAAGTGGAGGTCTGCTTCGTTCAGTGAACAGGGAATAAGTGTCATATCTCTCTGGCTTTATGTTATTTTTTATTTACTTATTGGTACCAGGGATCGAACTCAGGTCCTGGCACTTGCGAAGCAGGCAGCGACACCTCTGAGCTAAATCCCCGGCCCTATGTCTGGCTTTATTTTAGAAACCAGGAGAGAATTTTGTAGTTCAGGATGAATTTGTGACTGACCTTGATATATTTTGACTTAGCTCTTTTTGGTTAATAGAGCTGTGCTGTTGCCACATTTCTTTCTTTTCATTCTTTTTAAAAAAGAAAGTCATAGGAGCTTTTCTGAGTCAGCAGCACTGTGTCTTCTGAGCTCATCCTTCTCCCTCCTCCCTCTCTCCTTCCTCCCTCTTCCCTCTCCTGGCATTTTTTCCTCCTCTTCCCCCTTCTTGCCCTTCTCTTGTCCTCCTCCTTCTTCATGTAGGATGAAGTCCTGCTCGCTGGTTTATAAATATAAAGTAATGAAGGCCTTAGCATCAGGCCTCTAGCAATGTCAGAGAGGGGCACTGATGCTCATAAAGCTTGGCAAATTGGACAGAGGCTTGCTAGGTAATGGGACAGTCAGTGAATGATCACCTGTGGTCAGATAATGACAACAAAATGTGTCTAGTCCAGAGGACTTTAAAAATGTATACATAACTATCGCCGACTCTCCTTTTTATTTGCCAACCTGGGTATTATTCAAGCAGTGCAATTAGACTAATATGCTCTATGGCTGGAAATTGAGATTAGAGAAATTGCTAGTTGATAGTGATCAGATCCTATACTTCTTCAGATTCTGAAAAGTTATGTTCAGTTAAAGACAACATTGAGAAAATAAAAGGGCAAAACACATTTAGGAAAACCTGTTCTCACATCAGGAATCCAATAAAGGTCTTAAGTGCAGGGAGAAAAGCCTGTAAATCAATAACAACAGTGACAACAAAACCAACTCAAAAATAGTGAATGACTTAGAGACCTCACGTAAGTAAACAAAAAAGCCCTCAACACCATTAGACCATTAGACATTAGGAAAATTAAATCAACCCTGAGAGTCTGTCTTACACCGGAAAGAATGGCCATCGTCAGGACATCAAACAATAGCAAATGCTGGTGAGGATGCAGGGGAAAGAGAGCCCTTCCGCACTGCTGATAGGAAGGCACGCAGTACAACCCCTATGGACATCAGTGTGGAGATTCCTCAGAAACTGACTCGGCTCTTCCCCTTCTAGATGTCTTCCCACAAGAGTTAAAGACATCATGTTACAGCGACACCTCCTCTCCTGTGTCTATAGCAGCACAGTTCATAAAGCTACAACTTGGAAGCAGCCCGTTGGCCTTCGGTATTCACAGAGATGGAGCACTGTTCTACCATAAAGATAAACTTGAGTCACTCGTAGGAAGATGGATATAACTACAGACCATAATTCAGACACACAATCTTAAATATCACATGGTTTCTCTTACATGAGAGACCCAAAATATAAATAAGGAGCAAATTAAAAGGTAGATAATAGGAATTAGGGAGGTGGATCTTTCTTAGAGGGGAAGAGGATCAAGAGATGGAGGGAGTGAGAGAGAGGGTAAGGGAAGGGATGAAAAGTGGGGTTAAGGTATGTTTTGTACAGGTACCAACTTCCTGCAAGGTGTGTAAGCATGTGCTGCACAAATGTACTAATAAAAATAAATGATAAAAAGTTAAAACCACGTGGCTACCTCACACCTAATAAAGAGTTAAAATCATGAAAATGACAACACCAAATGTCAACAGTGTATAGAGCGAATAGCGTTGCCGTGTGTCGTCGGCGGACGTGTGGGTGGCCACCCGTTTTGTAGAACTGTGCAGTTTCTTAGAAAGGTGTGTACCCTGTGTCCTGGCAGTTCTCCTGGTGGGCATTTAACCAAGAGAAAATATATGCTAAAAGTACAAAATAATCTTATAAATTTTATCAAATCAATGATGGTTTGAGTTGTCTCTGTTATTGACATACAGGAATACTTGTCATTTTCTTCATTAAGAAGAAAGTAAATTTTATTTTTATATAAATTCCTTTATAAATAAAATGAAAACCTCAACAGTGTGGATGAACTGTAGATAAGACAATATATAGAGAAAGCAGCCTTACACAATAAGGATGCATGTTGTCTGATTCCGCTTATGTGACTAGGAAAATCTAACATACGGTGTTTTGGGTGATAAAAGGTCTGCAGCAGCAGGCAGTACGAGCACTGAGGAATCTTCTAGAGTGAGGGAAATGTGCTCTTACTCTGGGAAGCCGCTACATGGATGTACATACATTGCCAAAACACATTACATTGATTATTTAAAGATGTACGAATCTCATTGTATATAAACTATACCCAGATTTTCTTTTAAAACCAACTCTTACTGTACTGGCCAGGCTGGCCTCCCAACTCCTGGGCTCAAGAGTTCCTCTTGCTTCAGCCTCAAGAATCTGAATAGGCTCATGCCACTGTTAGCTTTATACTTAGATTTTTACAAGTCTAATGAAATGTTTAAAAACTGGGCATTTCAACCACTTTTCCCACTGGTGTATTTCATGTTTGGACTATAAGTGAAGTCGCAGTAGAGGCCAATCAGTGGCTTTCACACTTTGTTAAGTGGATGATACAAAGAAAGTAAAAATATTTAAAAATCTTAGAATAATCACTGTTTAAATATAAGGTGTGATAAAAACTATAGTGAATGTTTAAAATCACTTATTACAGTAAAAGACACGGTGCCATTAATCCCCCTAAGACTCCCCGCTGTTTGAGACACACTTACACCTCGTTGCTGCCACCTTCTAAAGCTGCTCTGGAAGTCCTCTCTCATGAGTGTCTTTAGTTCCACTGTGCTGGTGGCCTTGCTGTCCTGAATCACTTCAAAATGTTTCCCTTCCATGCTCATTTTGACTCTGGGGAAGAGCCAGGAGTCACACGGTGCCAGATCCAGTGAGTAAGGTGTTTAAGGACACAGTGCAATGTTTGTACGTGAGAGCAGTTGCTGTCCCAGAAGCAGTGTAACATTGCGGAGGGCCTCCATCTGTGTTATGCACCTAATCTGGCCTCATGCAATATCTGAGTCCTGAAAGTCAAAATGAGCTTGAAAATAAACGTTTTGAAACAATTCAGGACAGCGAGGCAGCCAGGACAGTGCTACTAAAGATGCTCATGAGAGAGGACTCCAGAGCTGCTTCGGAAGGTGGCAGGAATGAGGGACTAAGTGTGTTTTAAATAAGGATAGTATTTTGTGGGGAATCAATGGCAATATTCTTTTACTGTAATATATTTTTAATTTAAGCATTCACTGTATTGTTTGATCATACATTGCATATATGATAGTGCTATATGTTAAGACATTCTTTAACAAAAATAACCAGATATCCCACTGTCATTTAAAACTTATTTTAATGTATTGAAAGCTCAGGTAGGAGTAGGTGTCTTGGTTGTTTACTCCTTAAGAGACATCTTTCACATCAAACCTAACACTGTCTGACCAGTGTGCTACCAAAGGGAGATTGTGCTTTCTCTACTGACCAGAATGAGGGCAGGTGCGCTGGCATTCCAGTGAGGGTTCAGAAGATTAAATTTTTACTGGTATTTGTTGCTAAAGTGTAAATAAATACAGTGGAACCTCCAGCATCAAATTTGGAAGCAGCTTTATCTTCCAGGAGTTCTCAAAGGACCAAGTAACTGCTGTTGTCTCTCGTGAAGCTTTCCCTGGTTCCTAATGTTATGAGGAAATAAAGACATCATGTACTGAGAGCTGTCTTTCCATCCATCAATAAATGTCAGTGGGAGGCTGCCAAATATTTTTGACTGGAAAGTCTGTTCTGTATCATGAGGTCATGATCATTTAGCTTTTGGGGATCAACAGTTATTTTTTTATAAAATAATGGCAACTGACAGTAATATTGCTGATGCATTCTTACTGACAGCCTACACCAGTCTCCCAATATTTTTTAAAATTTTATTTTATTGATCCATCTAATTGCAGCTAGCTGTTAATGGTGAGTAGCAAGACTAGTTACAGTTTCTTCTGTAATCTAGTAATACTATACTGTTTGATCATCCAACGATAAACTTAAGGCCCCAATTAATTTAAAAGCTAACCTGCTTGACTTAAGACCTCATCTGCAACTTGTTTTTAGCACAGTTTCCCATGACCTACACTAGCCTGACCTAGTTCTACCTGCCTCCTTGCCAATAATGCCTTACTTTTATGTTGTGCTTTGTAGTTTCCCAAATTCTTTCACATGCATTAACTTATTTGATCTTCCCGTCACTTCTGTGGGGGAAGCAGGTATTATTAGTTACAATTTACAGATTAAAAACAAGGTCAAGGAAGCAAAATCACTTCTCCTGGTTATTCATCTAAATAAGTAAATGAAAAGACGGGTTCTTTTTCTATTACACTGTCCGAAACACCTTCACAAATCCAGGGGCTTTCTCCTGATAAGTGAATGTATTGACAAGCCTGTCTATTTTAACTTTGCATTGGGCTAATTTTCCAACATTAGGTATTGAAAGTTTCATGTCACACAGCAAAAAACATTAAGACATAATTTATTAAATTATGGATCCTAGATTTTCTTTGGATTTGAATCAAGCTAACCTTTCTGGGCAAACCTAAAGTAAAATCAAGCTCTGAATTTATACCTTCATTCACTCAACAGCTATTTACTGGGCACTTAGTGTACTGAAAATGTCTAGACCAGATCACATTTTTAAGTACTGTTCTAAATAACTTAATAATTCCTTATTCATCATGGAAGCAGACACTGTAATTCTAAAAATTCAAACGTCCTATGTGGTAAATACTAAAGCTACATTGCATATCACTAATGTTATCTTTCCTGATGATTTCTTCCCATAACCCCGTCCCATTAAGCTCTATTAAGTATGTGAAATTTGCTAAACTTAAATGCAGAATTTAGTATTGAGTTTTTGTCTTATTATAGGTCCAGTTAAGAAGTTCCTTGATACCCCCTAATCCTAGTTACTCAAGAAGATGAGGCAGGAGGATTGCAAGTTCAAGGCCAGGCAGGGCAACTTTGCAAGATCCTGTCTTAAAATAACGGGTAGCTCAGCAGAAGGCCCTGGGTTCCATTCTCAGTAGAAAAAACATTCCTAGACCTAAATCTCTAGCATGAGTTGAGAACAATGTTTGTTGAGTACATGTGTCAGAACATGCATGGGATGGAGAAGTACTGTAAGTGAGAAGCCATTTTGTCTGGACTAAATCATCATAACATCTATTATGATACCTGAAAACTTTCCCTCTCCAACTCAAAGCAATTATAACTAACAGAATTATCATATCTAGAAGATTTACAGCTATTATTGTTCAGATTATTTTAAAGTTATTTTGCTAAATTCTCATCTCAGGGAATTGTTTTAAATTGTAAAAGTGTTACTTATTTTTTTTTAGATATAAAACTAAGAATGCTCTCTCAATTAGAAAAACTTTTAGGAATAACTGCAGCTTTTCAGTTGTATTTTAGAAAGTGTCAATAACAAATTCTTTCAAATTACATGTTACTTATTCATGATATTGATTCAAAAATTAAAACACCTACCAAATATCATTGGGATGGTATTTTGGAATATATATATTTAAATATAACCAGAAGCTCTAATTTTAAATTGTTCATTTAAATAATAAATATAGTCATTTAATTTGATTGCATCTGCATGTTCCAATACGCATTTTATGTCAGTAGGATGAGAATGATCAGACCTAGCTGTACTACCAGTCAGATATTTTTTAAAAGTTTACCAATAGATTAAAAGCAAAACAGAAAATTATCTTCCTTTGACCAATCATTTAGGAGGCCACCAATTCAATACAAGTGTTCCCTAAACCCAAGTCTGTCCCTATACATTCGGTCTTTTTAAAATCGTCTTCTGGCCTCCTTACTTCTGTTTACCCTTCCCCTTCTAGTTCATTGGTTCCCTCTTCTCTAACCCTCTGGGAGTTGTCAGTTCCTCTGTGAGGTGAAGATCACACTTTAACATCTTGTAACCTGGAGATTTACCATCTTCCCAGGCATTAGAAGGTGGTTTCAGATTCTACCATGAGAATCAGTGTGCCCATAGTATGTTTTTGATTTGGTCCCGGCAGCCATTACTGATGCTTTGCTCTTTCCTGGGGCTCTCTGAGGGCTTCACCCAGAGCTATTTCACTTTACCCCCGGTCCCTAATCAGATTACTGACTCAACTCAGTCTTTATCTGCAATCTCCCACCCCCACTGGTGTTGTATTATTTTTCTAACCCAAAGGAGCCAGACTCCTAGAGTAGGTATTTCTTGAATTTACATATTGTAATCTCATCTGCTCATTTCCTAAGACAGTCACTGTACATTTGATAATTCTATTATTATAGATTATTATCTGTGAAACCATTTTGTCTTCCCACAGGAGTGTCTGGAACCCCTGCTGGCCTAGCCTTAAAGAGTTGCCCTGAAATGTACTGGTGCTTAATCAAACTTTTACAAAAGTAGTTGCTTATTTCTATAACCAGATTTCTGTTTTTAATTATATACTTTAAATGCCTTCAAATTTCAGAGCTGTGAAAGGATTTTTATATTATTATCTACATGTTTCTCATTTTTATATGAATAATTACACATATCTGAATAGATAATATCCACCATATTATATAGTTATGTGAGCAAAAGAAAATAAAATGATTTTGTAGAATAGTCAACATATAAATACACAAATATTTCTTTAGGGAATAATTATGCTCTAACACTTTATCTAAACACAGTTACTTTCCGATCTGAATTTTTTGAGACTTGTGTTTGGAGATTCAAAAAGAAAACTGAAAATGTTCCAAAGCAGCAAAAATGCATTTCACAAAATCTGTTTTGAAAATAGTTTCTGGAATATTCAAGCTAGAGGAGACGCTAAATATCTTTAAATAAACCCATTACTTGCTGATGAGGATGTTGAGGGTGCGAGGCTGATGAAATTCAGTAAAACCATTAGTGAGGGAATGGGGGGCTGCTCTGTGAGGGTCTGAGAGACGGAACAGGAGGGAGGAACAGGAGGCTCACCCACGCCACATTTAACACAAGTGCAAAATTCTGTGTTGTAAGCCCACAGCACATGACCGGTGTGATCAAACTATGGTGAATGTGAAGTTGGAAAATGTATTACGTGAAAGACACATTGCCACGAATCCCCTTCAGAATCCCGCCTCTTACCCTACTGGGCGGGCCACTTTCTGGAGCAGCTCTGGAGTCCTCTTTCACGAGAGTTGTACTGTCGCTCCTGTGGCAGCCTCCATGCCCTGAGTCAATGGTCATTTTGACTTTGGGGAAGAGCCACATCCAGTGAATAAGGTGGATGAGGAATAGACTGTAATGTTTTATTTGACAGAAATTGCTGTAAACGTTTGAGGGAAGAATGACTAAAAAATACAGTGAATATTCAAATTTTAAAATTTGGTTGCAGTGGAAGTAGCATTACCATTAATCTCCCTCAACGTAATCCCCTTGCCGCAAACACACTTATCCCATTGCTCTGTGCAGTGTGTCTTAATTTAAGCATTCACCGTGTGTTTCGATCACCTCTCATAGAATGACCACACTGAGTGTGAGGGTCAGGGCAGGGAGATGTCCCGTCATGCCTGCCGTGACTGTCAGAGTGGCTGATGGTGAGTGACAGCTCAGACCAAGTCTTGAAGCCCCAGCCCAGCAGCCTGAAGCCAGGAGGGTGAGAGAGTGGGGAAGTCATAATACACATCTCAAGAGACCTGAAGACCGGACTGTTTTGCGGAGCAGCTTAGTAGCAGTGCTCTTGCAGAAACAACCAGTAAGAATCAGACAGATAATGCTCACAATGTGTGACAAATGCAGAGAAGTAGGCCTGAATGTGGAAAGACATAGGCAGAACAAATAAAATTTCGTTCCACAGCGGTCTAGCCTTATATGAAATGTGGCGAATTGTGTTTCCTCTTTGTTTTCATATCAATGGGTATTGACCAAATTAAAAAAAAAAATCATTTTTTTTTTTTTTTTTTTTTTTTTTTTTTTTTTTTTTTTTTTTTGGGGGGGGGTTA